ATAATTACGAATAGATCGAAAGTTTATAGAAAGCTGATGGTACGTTGGGGCTGTCGGCCGAAAGCCAGATCTGGCTGGCTTTTCTGAACCGTAAATCTGGCTAGCTAAACTCATGTGCGATGTGAAGATACAAAGGTCACTAGCTTGCCTGTATGGTACTATGGTCGGTTTCAGAAATGCTTGACATAAATAAAAAAAACATAAGAACCGAAATGTTAATTACAGTACGAACTTACGTGGTTTCCTTGCAAAAAAAAAAAAAAAATCCATACATGGTCGCTCCGGGGCCACTGTTCACAAGCTCTTACACTGCCCGCGGACTCATCACTCGCTAAATCTCCAGAAAGAAAATGAATCCTAGTATGTAGCAGAAAAACCATGTAAACGGACACCACAACATGCCTGATTAATCGTGTCATAGATGATAGAACACAACATCAGAGGATTGAGATACCCCAACAATGCAAACTCCTTCCAACAAACTACGAACTAACTAATCAGCGGTCAAATCAAAGCCGTAGGAAGAGGCCGCACTGTATAACATATTCTTGCAACTTGCACGTACATGATGAGCACTATTTTGGAGTTTCATCCTGCCTACACAATCATCAGGGCCACCAAAGCGCCATGTGCCGTCGCAAAATGATTCAGTGGTTCGCCAGGTAGCTCCCACAGATAGATCCATCATCGATGATCGGGTCATTAGCTATACAAAGTACTCCCTCTGTAAACTAATATAAGAACATTTAAATAACTAAAGTAGTAATCTAAACGCTTTTATATTAATTTACGGAGGGAGTACTACAATGAGGCAGCCGTTGCATTACTGGTATGCCGTGCATGATTCGAATAACATGCTCTTGTGTCGGGCTAATAGTACCAAGCCACCATAGGCTGTTGCTATGTAAGATTATTTCATTAAGCAATAAATAACACTCCAATTATTCTGATGAGACTATAATGCCTACTGTGACGGTTAATCATGAGGGCTCTTCGGTTATGCATGTTTAACGACCACAAATATATTCTCTCGGGACAGATTAGATTAGATTATGAGATGCTCTCTGACTGGCCAACGGGTAGCTAGTTAAGCTAGCTGGACTGGACAGTCGCGAGAATCAGACCGTATACCATCATGGAATTAACGGCCAATTAACTTCTCTACGTCCGAGTCACCACGGCCATGATCAACTCATCATTTGTATCTCCTTCTCTTCACATGCCCGGCCCGTCAGCAGACCTCCAATGATCATGCACGTTCTGTTTTTCTGTATTTAGTACATGTAGACTAGTTTAGAGTGTTTAATGATCAATGGCCATTGTATGGAGGTGGTTACGACGATGCAGGATGGAGACAACTCGGTTGGACAGGCAGCAAAGATTAATAATAACTGTGATTTTTCCCTAGTAATGTGCAGAGATGCACGTTAATTTTTCCATCATAAAACCACATAACAATGGCTTTCTTTTTTTACAAAAAAGAGAAGTAAAACGAGACCCAAACAGGAAACACACTGTCAATCTCTTCACATGAATCCCCGGTAGCCACGTTCAACGGAAAAAAATTATATGAGACCAGGTCTCACAGTTTTTTTTTTGATTACTTAGTTTGATTACTTAGTTTTTCTTTTTTGATAATATGTCTGATTAGTTAGTTGGGTGCCGCTAGATCTGGACTAGTGCTGTTCACCGCAAGTCCAACCCTTTTTTATGCCCTTTATATGCGTCTTTATTTATAGTACCCTACGCAGAGGCACAACTCAGTTCGTGAGGTCAGTACTACGCATTACTAACAGTGTTGTTAGCGTGTAAAAACGCGGGTACAGCTACTGGATTTTCGTTGCAAACTACGGAGTAATCCGGTTTCGTTGATTCGGAGCTCTGATCGATCATAGGTATGCTAGAAATAAAAATCAGCCAACCGTTCTGTGTGATAGATACCGCTGAAATTCAGATAACAGAATTACTGCTAGATGAAGCTTGTATTTGGACGCGATTCCTGCAGAAAATGCGTTACACTCTAAATTATTGGCAATATGAGTTGCACATGCCTGTACACATAGTGCTAGCAGTATTGTATATATTAGAGATCTCTATATATATTATCACTTGCACGTACCAAGTATACATCGGCAACGACTAGTTAGCTACTAATCAATGAATGATGGAACTACAGTAGCTAGCACAATCATTTTATCACCAGCAGCAGCCACGGCACGGCACTGATAAATCATCAGCGGCCAGCATGTGGTGTGTGACTGTGTGAGGTCGGGTATATACGTGCAATGATTCGTCCACGGTCCATCCATCATGCCCATGATGATGAGGTCGCCCACCTATTCTGAGCTGGTCACATACACAGATCGATCTCGGATCCGTCGGATGGATGGATGGATGGATGATCGCGCGCACGCCTGCCTTGAGTACGAGTAGTTTGTTGCATGTGCATGATTTCTGCCACATGCCATTGTCGGGAAATTATAGGTGACCATATACAGCTTGCTGCCGCAGCGCCAAAAAATATGACAAATAATATTGCCGCCATGAGCCCCGCCCGGCGTACTCATCTTTGTATTGCGGTTAATACGTAATATACTTTATTGAGCTACATGGACATTTTTTCTAGAAATTTAATGCATATTTATTTTGTGATGCTTGGATACTTTTTATGTATGGTGCGGAACAATTTGTGATACTATGGAGAAATATTTAATTCGTAGCACCAACATTTTATTTAGTGTGCGTAAACAAAATATTGTAGTGGAATAGATCAATTTGATTATTTGAAAGAAAAAAATCTCCACGGAATAAGAAAGTCATTTGTAAATCCTAGTTTTGCTAAAAATGAAACATGAACACATGAATATTGAACCAGCACAACCATAATATCGCAAAAAGGTGAAGGAACAAATCACAACCACGGGACATCATGAAAGAAAAGAAAAAGATAAAATTGCACAAAAAACGGTAACTCATCTCCGAGCCCGGGTTTTTTTTTTTTTTGCTGTGAGATACTGAAATGTCCGAACACCGCCGAATTTGGCATGGACATAACGCATTTGAGCATCTTGCAAGCCAAAAAAAATCAGAATTTTTTGCTACATTTTCGATTTTACTGTTCATGCACAGGCCATGTGGACCTGGAAGCCAAATCGACGCGTCCCACAAAAAAAGTACCTCTCTATCTTGGTTTGGAAGTCTCGGATCCATTTCAAGAAAAAAAATTGGCTATTATTTTGGTTAACAAAATATGAGTTATAAAAATCATACCAAATAAAACTTTTCGGCAATGTGAATCTAATGATATACTTTCTGACACATACCTACTATTTTTTGACCAAGTTAATGGTCAACATTTTCTTACAATACGCATGGCGATATGCCGTCTAACAGCTCTAACTGGGCCGAGGTGGCGGACAAGATTTTACGAGGTGTTTTGTGTAAACTATTTACTATGTAGCGGTAGTAAAAATGGTAGGGGGAGCGGCGACATGGATGCGTCGGCAGCTCGTTCTCCCAGTGGTAGTGGTCGATCGATCGTCGAGGGATCTCGATGCAACTTTTTTTACGTGTTAGGTGATTTGTACTTCTGGAGAACATTCATAATAGATGTGGATCATTTTCAGCCAAAATCATAAATCGTCGCACATCACTTTGTCCTTTGATGGTAAGAGACACGTGTCTGTTAGCAACCGGGACCAATTGGCATGTTCCCTCATCCAACTAGTGCAAAGTGACCGATAAGCCTAACAAGAAGCCAACGAATCAAGCGAGTCGCTGGCCGTTCCATGCGGCCATCTGAATTGATCCTGCCGTCACTTAGTTAGGTCAGCCCTCCCTCTTGCATCCACTGGTCGGTCGGCATCACAAGCTGTTGCGACCTGCGACTTGTTTGCGATGGAGCACAGGTGATGAAAAGGCCGGAAGCAAAAGCAAAGGGAGGCTTTTCCCTCTTCGGCCGATTAAACTTTGGTCGCCGCGGATCGCGTAGGGATTCAACTGTCGGTCGAAAACAACTCGGGCCGGCCCCAGGGGTCCAACGCGCACTAATCAAGCTGGGTTGCAGTTGCAGGTGGTCTACTCTAATCAGATCTCCTAATGATCTCGCCATGACTTTAGTCCGCCACTTTGTCTGCGGACTAGTTAATTGGCCTTTTGATTAAAGCTTCTCTGAGGCGCATGTGTGCAGGCAGGGCTCGTCGTAGACACGCACGGTTGTCTGTCTGAAACTGTTTAGTATATGATTATGAGGTGCGGGTGCGTTGCTTTCGCTTAAACAAGTTGCTGAGATGTCTGCTCTCAGATGCAAATTCATCATGATTAGTAGGCTAGTACCTTGGGAAAAAAACCATTCTTTTCGAACCGGGCCACTTTTTTTCATCGAATTATACTCCGGCAAATGAGATATATACACATAAAGGAGATCGGGTTCGTCGACGCGCTAACTTGATTCATGCTTTTTATCGCAAAAATGCTAAGAATATTAATAAAAAGAGAAGGACATGGCTCCAAATACTACTCTTGTTGGAGAAGGGTAAAGAATGTGAAAAGGATGTGAATGAAAGATTTCAATAATTTCCTCCATCAACCAATCATGAATTAGTGGTAGTGGTAGCAGTAGTACAAATCAATCAACAAGCTGTTAATCCAACAACCGGCAGGGGTTTGGTGGATGGGTACACGCCGTCCAGGAAAAAGCGGACAGCCATTTGTTCCTTCTTCTTACTAATCTGTTTCTGTTTTGTTCGTCGATCGAATCCCAAAGAAAAAAAAAGAAAGAAAACCCAAACCGAATTACTACTAACCGAAACCAAACCATCCATCGATCGCTAGCGCGGCTAATTACTGCTATGCAGATTCCAAACCAAATCAAATCTTGTTCCGGCGATCGACTGACTGATTTGCCAATTGATTAATTTGATTGACCCAATCGGCCGCCGCCTGACCAAATCTCCTAATTTATCGCCTGGATTGGGCCCCGGCGGCGAGATCTCGTCGTCTCAGAAGAGCTCTCTGGTGACCAGCGGCTGCGCGGCGCCGTTCCACGCGCCCTGCTGCCTGCCGGATCGGTCGGGGGCGGCGGCGGTGGTGGTGGAGGGGAAGAACTGGCAGTGGCTGGGAAGGACGTTGCCGGCGGGGTGGGCGTTGGGCTTGGGGCTGCACTGCTGCGGCTGCTGGTGCTGGTGCTGGTGCTGCGTGGCGGCCGGTCCGGCGGCGGTGGCGGCGACGCGGCGGCAGGAGGGGCACATGGTGAGCGTGGCGGCCTGCTGGGCGTGCGCGGCGGGCGCGGTCTTGAGCGCGCGGAGCTCGGCCACCTCCTTCTCGAGCCGCTTGTTCTGCTCGGCGAGCTGCTCGCACCAGCGCTTCATGTACTCGCAGTCCACCTCCGTCTGCTTCAGCTTGGTCCGCGCGCGGCGGTTCTGGAACCACACCTCCACCTGCCGCGGCCGCAGCCCCAGCCGGTTCGCCAGCGCAGTCTTCTGCTTCTGCAGATCGTCAGGAAAGAAACCCCGGTCAGCGCAATGCGATCGATCGCGAGGAATCCATGGACGAACACCACGCGCCGGACGGCCCGAGGTGTGTCGATCGAGGGAGGAGGAGTAGAGACTTACGGGGTTGAGCGTGCTGTGCGTCTTGAAGCACTCCTCGAGGACGGCGGCCTGGTCCTTGGAGAGCCTGAGCTTCTTGCGGCCGCCGGCGCCGTCCCCGCCGTCGTCGTCCTCGTCGCTGCCGGCGGTGGCGGCGCCGCGGGAGACGCCGGAGCCGGTGCGCTCCAGGCCCCTCTTGGTCCCGGCGCTGACGCCGCTCTCGGGCGACGTGGACGTCCTCCCCGGCTCCTCCTTCCGCTGGTGGCTGGCATACGGGTGCAGCCCGTACGACTCCTGCGCGCCGACGACGGAGTTAAGCGCGGCGGTCCAGTGCTGCGCGTGCGCCTGCGAGGCCGGGGAGGAGGAGGCGGTGGTGGTGGAGGACGTGAGGCTGCCCTGCGACGCAAGCCCGAGCCCCAGCCCGAGGCCCAGGTCGAGACCCGCGGCGGCGGCGCGATGCATCGTCGATCTCCGGTGAGCCCGATCCGGTCTGAGAGTTGCCCGGAGTGGGAGGGAGGACGGTGGTGGTGGTGGTGGTGGAGATGTGATGATCTGGTCTGGTCTGGGCATGCGGCGGCGGGTGGCGAGGCTATAAATAGGGCAGCGGAGGGCGAGCAAATGATGAGCTGTTGGGTTGGATGGGGGAGGTGGATCTCCTCTCCTCGCTACCACCAGCGGCATCCAATTATTGTTATATTATTATTATTATTAATTGGCTGTAAATAAATACCTAAATAATGGCGATAAATACTTTCCCTTGTGCACCACTCGCTCATCATGGCGCCGTGCATGCTGCCTTCCTCGATCTGAGCCTTGACCCGGTCCGACCCGAGCCGAGCCGAGCCGTTTCCTTGGCTGGCGGAGGCGCTCGGCTAAGTTGTGGCCGTGTGGCTGGCTGCGAGTATGCGCGTGCGTTGGAAGTTGGAACTCGGTGCGCGGCTGCGGGGGTACGACAAGCTTTGGCGCGTGCGCTCGTCTCGTCTTGGTCCCATCAGATCGTGTTAGAAGCCACATTTTTTATTATTATTTTTTAAAAATCAAGCTATAGCACTGTTTTTACTGTACATGTCTGATTTTAAATCTCATACTATTACTAATCCCCAAGGGTACTCTCCAAATGCAGCCTACCAAAGGAGTCTTGCAAAAAATAATGTAGTGGCAATTAGTTCTATATAAACCAGAAAACTTTCGTGTACAGTTGCGGCGATCTAACATAGCATCGCCACATGTATGTTTTGATCAACCCCACTCTTCCAAGATAAAAGCATGCGATCTAGACTACAATGTTTGTTTTGATCATATCACTAAAAAAAACTACCATATACAATGTGCATGTTGCAAAACATCATTATAACTCATGGGTATCGAGGCAAGAAAAGCAATCAACATGTTGAATTCCATTTATATCTTCAATTGGAAGAAAACAGCTGACAGCCGAGTACAAAATGGTAACTCTTAAAGTTTGGACGACTGGAGTAACAAACTTAATGTTCTCTACATTGGTTCGTACCATTGTTCAATACATGAAAGACAAATGTGAAATACTAGTTCAACACTTAGGTGGGTTGTATACTTTGATGAAACCTACCAAGAAACTGCCAACAACTACCTCTTTTCTACATTGAGGCTCTAGATCAAATATGTCATAGGGGCATATACTAAACCTCATGCCACAACAAGTGAAAAAACACCCACAATGCACGCCACAAGTACACAACTTATAGAATTTTCGTCATGGGGTTGCTCTGTGTGCCTCCTTATCATGGAGGATCTTGTTCGAACGAGAGCTGGATTACTTCTCCTCGCTGGCACTCGCCGTATCCAGTTATTATATTAGTTAACTCTAAAGAAGTAATAAATAATCATGATAAATAGTTCCCATTGCATGCCACTCGCCTCGTCATAGCGCCCAGATACCGTGCATGCTCCTACTCGATTTGAGCCTTCTTCCTTTCCTTGCACCGATCGGGCTCAAAGCCGAGCCGAGGCATTCCCTTGCACTTGCGGAACTTGTCTAAATTGTGGCCATGTCTATAGGGTGGAACTCGGCATGGGACTAGGTTTGTGGTCGCGGTAGCCTCGTGCTGGCTTGGTCTGATGAGATCATATTATATTAGCAGGCATCTGCAAAAAGTGTAGTTGAATCTTTGTCCGATGAGATCTGCCATTAGAATGCATCACATTTATTTCATCAGATCGTTCATTTTGTTTTTTACGGGTTTTCATTTGGATATTGAGTTTCACATTTAACTTCAACATAGTGTAGTTATCGTATTCGTTCAAGCTCCCATTGTGTCCTCCAACCTTATTTGAACTTCCTGGTTGTCCTTTCTATTGTGTAAGTTTTACAGGTGTTCATAAGTTCCAATCCTAATGGTATTTTTTTACTGCCTAGGTTCATGCGACATGAAAACAATGTAGTAACAATTACTAATATAATATATATATATACAACATTCTTGTGTGATTGCGATAATCCAAAATAACATTACTGCATGTATGGTAGCACCTGGTATGGAGCAATCCCATGCTCCAAATATAAAGCTTGCAATATGGATTACAATATTTTGATCATCCAACTATTAGGCAAAGAGTTTGTCCCAAAGCGTCAATAGAACTGCTGAATATCAAGGACAAACTATACAACGCATTTGCACATACAAAGTTACCTAGGCAAGAAAAGCAATGAACATGGTGAATTCGGTTTATACTCACAACTGGAAGAAATGATCTGGAAGATAAGTATAATACTATAATTCTTTACTTTTGGGTGACCGGTGTTGTAAAATGATTAACTTAATGTTATCTACGTAGTATCATATGATTCTTGAATACATGAAAGTCAAATGTGAAATACCAATCCAGCATTTTGGTGGCTTGTATCTTTTGTTGAAATCTGCGAAGAAAAAGCCAATGTCTAGCTAATCTCTACATTAAAAATTGAAATCATGTGTATCTTAATTAGGGGCGGATACTAAATTTGATGCTACTTGCAAACAATGAAATAAGCACCAATGATGCCTTTCAAAGCACGCCATAAATACACAACTTGCATACTTTTTGTTGTGGGCTGCTTCGTGCCTCTATATCGCAAAAGATCTCGCGGCATGCTCTCGTACAACCCGTGGCCGAGGCACATGGGTAGCTCATCTCACCCCCAAGATAGCTCGAGATTGTGATTTACCAGGGTAATATTGAAGACCTGGGATCGTGGCCTCCGAAGATAGAGGAGAATGCCATTTATATCTGGTGGCTCTTGGAGTCGACAACAGCGGTGAGAAGGTATAGATGGGCTAGAGGCAGGCCATCGAAGAAGGATGTGTTGCGCCAGGGGCGGTCAAGGACACAACTGACGATGAGCATTAGCATGGATGCGGTGATGACACTAGCAGCAACTGTTACGGCATATCTCTCTCAAGGTAGTTTTGGTGATTGATGACAACATGTTTGCGGACTAATCTTGTGCGTTGAATTATTCTCAGATTCTCCCCTGGCACGAGACGCTTTCTTCCCCTCGGAGTATATTTCAAGACGGTGTAGCTCTTTCGTTTCTTTCTAGGTGGAGTAGTTGCGTAGAGGGCACCGTACTATCAAGAGGGGGTCCGATGGGGTTTTGCTTGGGTGGAATCATCACGTACACATCAGCTTCTCACCCTCCGAGCTTTTCCTGTCCATTGAAGAGATCTCTCCTCTCTTCCTTGTTCTGTCTAGGTCTAAGCGGCAGTACCACGCACCCAGCGGTAGTACCGCTGAGAAGCCACAAGCGGCAGTACCGCTTCGCAGCGGTAGTACCGCCGTGGCTCCACAGCAGTAGTACCGCTGGGGGCCTGGCTCCTCCGCTGGTCCTCAGCTTTTTTGAGAGATCCCTTCTCTCTCTCGCGCACGCGCCCCAGCGGTAGTACCGCACTGCCTGTGGTACTACGGCCGAAGGGTCACAAGCGGCAGTACCGCTCCACAGCGGTACTACCGCCGTTGACCCCACTGTTGTAGTACCGCTGGGTAGTTTGGCTCCTACCGCCTCGATTCGAGAGGTCTTTTTCTCGTGTCGGGTTTTGCGGCACTAGTCACGGTTGTAGTTGCGGTAGTACCGTTCCAGGAGCGGTAGTACCGCCCTACCACCGCGGTAGTACCGCATTTGGGTCCGTTCCCTACTAAGTCTCCTCAGCGCGGCAGTACCACTGGTTGGCGCGGCAGTACCATCACCTGGCGGTAGTACCGCCCCCTCTCAGCGATAGTACCGCCCTGTGCGGGGCTGGTTGGTGGGGGGCAACGGGATTGTTGCCCCCACTATAAAAGGGAGTCCCCTTCCTCCTTCTCACCTACCTCTTCCTCCCCCAAGCTCCATTTATTGCTGAAGCTCCATTAAATACTCCAAGCTTCATTTCCGCCCGATCTATCTCTCTAGCCAATCAAATTTGTTGATTTGCTCGGGAATGATTGAGAAGGCCCCGATCCACACTTCCACCAAGGGATTTTTGATTCCCCCACTCATCCCCAGCAGATCTTGTTACTCTTGAGTGTTTGAGCACCCTAGACGGTTGAGGTCACCTCGGAGCCATATTCCATTGTGGTGAAGCTTTGTGTTCTTGTTGGGAGCCTCCGATTAAGTTGTGGAGATTGCCCCAACCTTGTTTGTAAAGGTTCGGTCGCCGCCTTCAAGGGCACCAATAGTGGAATCACGGCATCTCGCATTGTGTGAGGGCGTGAGGAGAATACGGTGGCCCTAGTGGCTTCTTGGGGAGCATTGTGCCTCCACACCGCTCCAACAGAGACGTACTTCCCCTCAAAGGAAGGAACTTCGGTAACACATCCTCGTCTCCACCGGATCCACTCTTGGTTATCTCTTACCTTTACTTGTGCAAGCTCTTTATTGTTTTTACCCTTGCTTGCGTGTATGCTTGTTGTTATTGCATCATATAGGTTGCTCACCTAGTTGCACATCTAGACAACTTACTTTGATGCAAAGTTTAATTTGGTAAAGAAAAGCTAAAAATTGGTAGTTGCCTATTCACCCCCCCCTCTAGTCAACCATATCGATCCTTTCAATTGGTATTAGAGCCTCATCTCTTTATTAAGGACTTTACCGTCCAAAGAGTATGGTTGATACTGTAGACGGTGTGGAGGAACACTCCGGTGTGAATCCGATCTCGTCTACGGGAGATGGGGGAACTTAGTTCTCTCGTGAGGAGTTCAATGTGGCCTTGGAGAAATTGAAAACCTCCATGACGACCGAAGTTGAAAGCATGTTTACTAAATTTCTTGAGGGGCTTAAACTATCCACCGCACCGTTGAAAGTGGGTGATTCCGCCAACAAGGTGTCGGATGCTATCCCCGACAAGGGGGAAGCTAGTAGTGAAAAGGCTCCCTCTTCAAGTGGCAAGAATGGCACCGGCATCTTTGCCCATGTGGAACCACCACTTGTTTATGGTGGACCGGTTCCTTCCACTCATTTGAATCATGCC